AAGCATATATATGTTGTTGCTTTTAGTTACTTTAGAATGGTTTAAAGTTTCAAATGTAAAAGTTGTTTTACTGATAAAAATATTCTCTTGGTCATGTTTCTAAGGCCCAGAAAACTCCTCTGTTATAAATTACAGATGTTAAATGTTAAAACTTTAGCATGATGGTGTGGTGAAGAAACTAGATGGTGCCCAGTTATCAGAAGGAATAGTGCCTTGGGTCTTAAAGGTTTATCTTCACATAAGCAGCTATCTGAGCGAGGAGTCAAACTTAAGTCCGCATGGAAGAAGCCCACCAGTCAGTGTGATCCAAGGATTGTAAATAATGTGATCCAAATCCAAAGGAGGGAATGGTATCAGAGCTTAAATTGTGCATGCCTGGTTTAGGAAGGCTGTGATGACAGTGGAAGCCCCAAATCCATTTGCAGTTTTCCACCCATAGATCAAGCCTCTGGTGAATCCCCTCTGACCATAGTCAAGAGATGCAAATAGCCTTCTTATCAAACAGAAAGCATTGTAGAGATGACTAGTGTATATAGTTAAAATGTGTATCGTATTTGATCTCCCTTTTGACCCATTGAAAAGTTGTTTAAGTTGCTTAAATTCTTTCAAGCTTCTGGTGAATCCCCTCTAACCATAGACCAGGGATGTGAAGACCCTGCTATCATGCAAAGTGCATTAGAAAGATTATTGTTGATGCAGTTAGGTTAAAATTGAACACTTTTTCCTTTGATCTTCCTTTTGACCCATTTCAAAGTTGTTCTCATTTTCTTTACAATTGAGGTTTTTTAGTATTTGATTTTGTTAGCTTTTTGTTTCTTTGTTTTTTGTATGTTTTTCAGTAGATGAAATTCAGGATGGCTGAATCTTTAAGCACAGTCACTGGATTAGTGAATCTTGAGGGTATGGGAAGCTAGTAACATTAAGGACAAGAAAGAAGAAAATGCTCTAAAATTGATGGTAGTAATGATTGTACAGCTCTTCTTAATATGATTGAAATATTGGATTATATAATATGTAGATTATGTGACAATAAGATTGTTTAAAAAACAAAAATGCCCTCTATTATTTATATAACTTGGGGGTTTATTTTTGCCGTTATAAAAATATGCATAGTTTTCTTTAATTTTTGGATTATCTATTTTCATAGGATAAATTTCTAGAAGCAGAATTGTATGATCACCAGGAGGCCCAATTTAAATGTTTATGCTATATAATTCAAAATTTCTCATTATAAATACTAAGGGGTACCCCCCCAAACAGTATTTTTTTCAAAGCCATGTATTTCAATTTTTTTTTTACAAAGCAACCTTATCACCTTCAAAGTACTCACCATTACACATAATACAATTGTCAAATCTGTGATTCCATTCTTGGAAAAATTTTTTAAACTCATTCGTTTAGATGGCAGACAGCACCTCACTCATTTTTTCTTCATCTCTTCTATGTGGTCAAATTGCTGTCCTTTCATGTCCCTCTACATTTGCTGAAACAAAAGGAAGTCACACGGAGGAAGGTCAAGTGAGTAAGGTGCATGGGACAAGAGAGGCATGCTGGATTTTTTGCCAAAAACTGGCTCACTGAGATGGCTGTGTGAGCAGGTACATTGTCCTGGTGGCAAAACCAGCCCCCTGTCTGTCTCAAATCAGGCCTTTTTTGTTACACAGTTGCACAATCTTTTCAGAACCTCTAAATAGAAAGTTTGATTAACAGTCTGACCTGGTGGAATCAACTCCAAATGCACTACATTTTCATCCTTTGGGGAAGTTGATGGATATCCAGGACGAGAGTTGTCCCCAATCGACATTTCTCCTATTTGAAATATGAAAACCACTCACACACTTGAGTTTTTCCCCTAGCACTGTTTCTTTAAGCTTTATTCAATGAAAACCACTCACACACTTGAGTTTTTCCCCTAGCACTATCTCTTTAAGCTTTATTCAACATGACAACAGTTTCTGCGGCAATTTTCCTGAGCAGGAAACAAAATTTCATAGCTGTATGTTGTTTTCTTAAACCGGCCATCTTAAAAAACAAGGTTTGAGGAAACTGCCTTTATGAAAAAATTAGCTAAACCAGAGAGAACCTTCCCAGGTGTGATAGTCACATAATCTGGTGTCAATTTAAGATACTTAAGAGTAGAGGGTTGGAGTCTAGTCTGTCAATCAGATCCTAGCTTAATGACCTCATTTGGAGCACTAAGGAGATAGTTTGCTGGAGCCAGGGCACTCCCTGTGAGACATTCCTTCTGATAAGACACATGGAGCTGCGCTGGAGCCTCTGGAGACCCCTGCCAGCGTGGAGATGTCTCCACTGCCATTGGATCCACAAGACTTTGCACCCACTGGCCTGTGTTCTTCCGCATTCGGTGTCATTGCATGTGTTTTCTGAGTCTGAAGAGGAATTTATAGATTGGTATCAGACATATGCACTAATATTGGACTTATGAACTTAATCTGGACTGGACTGGGATGTTTTCTCAATATTCAATTGCTCTTGTATGCAGTGCTCTCATACACATATGAGTGTCTATGAATTTGTTTCTCTAGTCAGTCCAGACTTACACCAGGCGACCTCACTGGGTACACTAACTCAGAGCTAGTTGCTTGATGCTCGTCTGGCAGGAAAAATGCGTACTAGGAAAGCTCTGCTCCGCCCAGTACAATTCCAGTTTTTTGTTTTTGTTTGTTTTTGGTACCCCTTTGTGTATATCCACTAGACATAAACATTTTTTTCTCGTAAATTGTATTAATTTTTAAATTAACCTTTGTTATCTGATAGATCACACTTACAAACACAACAAAGACATATGACTATTTTGCCCATTAATAAAGTACACATGGCAGCGACAAGTCTTAAGATGTGAGACAGGAGTAGCACCGTTGTGGTGAAGGGTGCGTGTCAGCTAGACTGGGCCGGGATTCTCAGTGGTTTGGTTTTCCTGTGGCAGTTAAGTGATGATGTAGTCATCTTCCATTTTGTAATCTGAAGTGGTCATCTCCATTTATACAGAACACCAGTTTTCTCAAAACAACCTAGTGTTTAGAATCTAACCATGTTGATAAGTGTGGAGAGGATGTATGTATTAATTGTTTTAGTGTTTTGCCATAGCTTGCTAATATTTGCCTCTTAAATTTTGGGGGGAAATGTGTGACATGAGGAGGCTTTGAAAAACTTGTGGAAAAATGAGTGAAAAGATAGTGGAATTTTTTCATGAAATTTTTGAAGCCCCTTCATGTATTGAAAACATTTTTTTTTTACTTCTGCCAGGAGTCTTTTGTATATCTGGGAGTCTTGCAAAGGCACTGACTATCTTTGATCAGACTATCCTTTCAAGGATGTTTGTATAGCAAACAGCTCTTAAAAATAACAATAATGTCTTCCTCTATTGCAAAGTCCTTAAAACCCAAACTCACTGACATCGAGTCAATTCTGACTCATAGCAACCCTATCAGACAG